TTTATATTAAATAAATATAAATATAAATAAAATACAAAGGATTATTTATTTTATTTATTTATTTATTTTATTTTCTTACTATTGCCCTCAATAAATAATATAAATAAAATAAATAAATACAATACAGATAAAAGCGCATGCATGCATGCAGCAGCAACAGCAGCAACAGCAACAGCAGCGGCAGCAGCAACAGCAGCAACAACAGCAACAACAGCAACAACAACAGCAAATGGAACAGCAGCAGCTGCATCATCTGTTCTTGCAGCGACAGGCACACAGGGTGGTGGCAGCAGCAGCAGCTGCTGCTGATGCTACAGAAGCACAGGCAGCAGCAGCAGCAGCAGCAGCAGCAGCAGCAACGATTTCTTAGTTGCTTTCCTTTTTTTTGTCACAGAATTTTTATACTTTATTTTATGTCTGTCTCCGTAACTCGTTTATCTCTGCTTCAGCAGCAGCAGCAGCAGCTGCTGCTGCTGCAGCAGCGGCAGCAGCAGCAGCAAAAATAACAGTACAACCAGTAGTAGCAGGAGGAGCAGCAATAACAGTAGTAGCACCTGCCGCACTAGAGGGAGCAGCAGTAGCACCAGCAGCAGCTGTAGCAGCAGCAGTAGCACCAGTAGCAGCTGTAGCAGCAGCAGTAGCAGCAGTTGCAACAGTAGCAGCAAGCAGCAGCAGCAGCAGCAGCAGCAGCGGTTCGTCTGTTGAGTTAGAGACTGGCATTTATTTAGTTAGTGTAAAGAATAAAGAATAAAAGGAAAAGAAAATAAATAAAAAAAAATAATAAAATGAATAATTTTCCCTGCATGCATGCATGCAATAGACTATTAGGGCATTATAAAATTAAATAAATTTAATTAAAAATATATCTTTATTTATTTTTACACTAAATGTAGGTCTAATATACACTTATATATAGGGTTTAGGGTTTAGGGTTTAGGGTTTAGGGACTACTACCGTCAGTTTGATACTGACGGTAGTTGCATGCATGCGTTATCGTTGGTATAAAAGGACAAAAAGTAAATTTATTTTTAATTTAATTTTTGTTAATTTATTTCTTTTAATGTATTTTAATTGATTGTTTTCTTTTGTTGTATTAGCAAACCCTAAACCCTAAACCCTAGAAGGTATGTATACACGTACAAGAAACACATGCAACTACCATGGGGCCCCCAGGGGCTGTGGAGCGATGGCATTCTTCCTTTATTGGATCAATTTAAATTGTAGTTTTGTTGTTCAGGGAATAAAAAAGAAAGAAAAAGAGTAAAATAAACCTAATTTCTTCTGTTTTTCCTGTCTCAAGGGAGAGAAGTTGGGGGGAAACCAACGGCACCGCCGTTGGCTGCCGAGCAGAGATTGGTTTGTTTTTTGTTTCTTTTTCTGTTCAATTGGGGGGAAATATTGAATTTATTCATTATAAGAATAAAGTCGTTGTTTCAATTTGTATTTTTAGTGCGTGATACCATCAAAACGGTATATATTGAGTGTCCACCTGCCTATACACCGTGCGGTGTATAGGCAGCTGCTGAAGAATCTTTCCAGATTTTTCGCTGTTTCTTCATCAAATGATATATAATACCTCAAAGTGATTGTTTATTTGATTTATTTGAAGTAAAAGTATATTTCTCACTTATCTTTGTTGTTGTAACTACAATTATAGACAATTTTCGAGGAGCTTCCCTCCCTCATTTCTTCTTCACTTTCTCGTCATTCCCTCCTTTTTTTCCTCCTTTTCCCTCCTTTTTCCTCTTCTTATTTATTAGAAAATGGATTTCCGAATTGCAGGAGAAGGCGGCAATGCCGTGCTGCAGACGATTCACGCAAGTGAAGGCGGTCGTGCAATTCGTCTGCTGCAGCAGCGGCAAAAGATGCAGCAGCATTTGCAGCAAGCAAAAGAGCAGCTAGAGACAAAAGGAACAAAACGTAAAAATATTAATTGGGGAGGATCAGCAGCAGATAGATTAGAGGAACAATTCAAGAAAGAGACCATTGGTCTTGTTACTGCAGAGGACTTCAGAGAAAGAAGACAAAAATTAGAAGAACAAATTCGTTTTGGTACCAAAGAGCTATTCGTTAGGTAAGGCATTATAGCAGCAGCAGCAGCAGCAGCAGCAACAGCAGCAGAAGCAAGGAGGTGCTGCAGCTAGGAGCAACAACAATAGTAATAGCAAGTAGGAACACTACCAGCAGCATCAGCAGCAGCATGCAGAAATGCCAGGAGCAGGCATAGACATACACAAAGAGAGAGACAGTAAACTCTATCTAAGGGTTTAGGGTTTAGGGTTTAGGGTTTAGGGTTTTTTTTTTCTTTTTTTTTAGTAAGATGCAAGAAAAGAGGAAATTTGAATTAAAATTGGCGAAGAGTAAATTATCATTTGGTGATGAGACAGTAGATGAGGTACTTGCACAAGAAGAAGAAGAAGACAGCAGCAGCAGCAGCAGCAGCAGCAGCGACAGCAGCAGCAGCAGCAGCAGCAGCGGCAGCAGCAGCAGCAGCAGTAGTAGTAGTAGTAGTAGTTCTCCTGTTAAAGGTGATACAGATTCCCCACGACTTAAATCGGAATCGCCAGCAGCAGCAGCAACAGCAGCAACAGCAGCAACAGCAGCAGCAGCAGCAGCAAACTCTCCAGGTTCAGTAAAGGTTAAACAAGAAGAAGGAACGCAATCCTCCAGTCCAGGTAAATTAGGGTTTAGGGTTTAGGGTTTAGGGTTTATATATTTATATATTTATTCTCTATTTGTATATATAATTTGCTTCTTGCTGCTGCTTGCTGCTGGATGCAGGGGCGGATTCTGCTGCTTCTACGTCTCCTGCTGCTGCTGATGGTGGTTCTTCGGTGGGGTTGTTCAAGATAAGAAAGAGAATAGGAAAGGATCCAAGTGTAGATACAAGTTATCTACCTGTAAGTCTTATTATTACCCTTTCTCCTTTATTTAGGGTTTAGGGTTTAGGGTTTAGGGTTTAGGGTTTGCAAGCAAACGCATGCATGCATGCATGCATGCATGCATAAATATATTTTTTATTCTTTTTTCTTATTCCCTTAGGATAAAGAAAGAGACGCAAAATTAGCAGCAGAGAGACAAAGACTAATTGAAGAATATCGCAAGAAAGAAGAAGAAGAAAAACGTAAATATATATTCATTAGCTGCCTATACACCCCAATATAGCTGCCTATACACCCCAATTATAATATGTTGCCTATACACCCAAACGACCGCTAAAAAAGAGGAAATAAGAATAGAATAATAATAAAAGAATAAATATATTTTATATAATATAAAGAAAAAGAAGAAAATAATAATAATTTATATTTATTTATATATTTATGTATGCAGGTATGCCATTAACAGTAACATTTTCTTATTGGGATGGTACAGGACATAGAAGAAGAATACAAATATTAAGAGGATTAACAGTTGGTGAATTCTTAGATAGAGCAAAAAAAGAATTAGAGAAAGAATTTGTTGAATTAAGGACTATACATACAGATAATCTTATGTATGTTAAGGAGGATCTTATATTACCACACGTAAGTATACGAATTATGTACATATACATATACATATACATATTCATATACTTGTATACATGTACATGGTCTATACATACAGATAATCTTATGTATGTTAAGGAGGATCTTATACTACCACACATAAGTATACGAATTATGTACATATACATTATATGTATATGCACATATATATATCTGCATATACATATATAGGGAGGTGTATGTATGCATGAATAGATACAGCAGCATTTATGTTTTTTTTTCTTTGTTCTATGCATACATATATATACACATATGCATGCATTAATATATATATTTTATCCTTCATTCTTTATTTCTTTATTTCTTAGTGTTTAGGGTTTAGGGTTTAGGGTTTAGGGTTTATGTCCAAAATATAACATTTAACGAGTGAATAATGAGCTTAGCTCGTGGCAAATCAGGTCCACTATACATGTACACCTATATATGTATATATGTATATATGTATATATGTATATATGTATATATGTATATGTACGTACGAATACAGAATATAACATTTTACGAGTTAATAAAGAGTCGTGCTCGTGGTAAATCGGGTCCATTATACATATATACGTACGCCTATATATGTATATATGTATATATGTATATGTACGTATGTATACAGAATATAACATTTTATGAATTAATAAAGAGTCGTGCTCGTGGTAAATTGGGTCATGTATATGTACACACGTATATGAATATGTATATATGTATATATGTATATGTACGTACGTATACAGAATATAACATTTTATGAATTAATAAAGAGTCGTGCTCGTGGTAAATCGGGTCCATTATTTCATTTTGATGCATTTGATGATATTCGATTATTTAATGACGTTCGAAAAGAAAAAGAAGATTCACATGCAGGCAAAATTGTTGATAAAAAATGGTTCGAAAGAAATAAACATATTTTTCCGGCATCTAGATGGGAAGTTGTAAGGAATTATAAACCCTAGAAAACCCTAAACCCTAAACCCTAAACCCTAAACCCTAGAAAACATTCAACACTATACACTAATTTTATAAAGAGTTATGGCATAATTATTGATAAAAAATGGTTCGAAAGAAATAAACATATTTTTCCTGCATCTAGATGGGAAGTTGTAAGGAATTATAAACCCTAGAAAACCCTAAACCCTAAACCCTAAACCCTAAACCCTAAACCCTAGAAAACATTCAACACTATACACTAATTTTATAAAGAGTTATGGCATAA